AATTTTACACGTAAAAAGTTTATATGCGATCATAGCAAGAGAAAGGGGGAAGAACTAAAGTAGTTAAAATTAACTTTAAATAAATATGGGATTTTCCTTATTTTAAATGCTTTATCAAGCTTTTAAGGAAATAGAACTGGTCCTTCAACACTCAAACAAAGGAAACAGAGGCAGGAGAACCAGGTTATAAAAAAATATTATCATGCCATCGGGAGAGCTGTCTCTGCACAGCCTATCGCAGCAAGTCATTCCAGCCGGCATGCTTTTTAACTTAAAGGTACACATTGACAACCATATGCCCTTGCATGCCCAAGTTGCAGACCATCAAGCTTTCCATTTGCCCTCCGAAGGCCTCATACCCCATTTGCCAACTCCGAGACCATATGTGACGACTTCATCGGTGCTAAGGTGAGAGCGATCTGCCGGATAGGCAGCTACCACAAAGGGACTGCCGGGAAGATGAGTCTGATCGGCATGCACAAGGCTGACGACGTACTTGCCAACCTGGCGAGGTACGTACATCACACCCAGTGTTCCGTCACCTCGGTCTGCGCAAACGACCGAATCAGGCTCCTTGGGCCCCTGGATAACAACCTCGACACTAGAGGCTGAATCTGTTTGTTGAGGGCTCTTTGTCGAGGCCAACCGGCTCAAGTCGATGGTGAACTCAGTCGCCTGGTCAACAAGAACAGGCTGATCGGGGCAAAGACCAAGGCCGGGACCGAATGCATTTGCTAGGCTAGTTGGTGAGTCTGATGTGCACTGGGGCCATTTGCTCTGCTCGATAAGAACCTTCTGACTCAACAACAAGAAAAATAGTAATAACACAAGGATGAGCAGAGGAGAACTATGTTTGAGGCCGATGGGGGCAATAAGACAATAATGGACGAGTAACAAAGTGGAAGATCGAGAGTTAAGGAATACATGCAGTTTAAATAAAGGGAAGCGAAGGAATTCATATATAAAAGGGGTTAGTACTACATATTTAAATAAGTCGCAGACTTTTCAGCCTAAGATAAACTTGACACCTTGACAAGAATTAGTTACAGCTCTGAAGATTTCCGGCATATGACGAACGAGAGCTCAGCCCATTTTCGAACTAATAAAAGAAATATGTCTCGAAGTCTGCTTCAAACGAAATGTCGCATCAAAACCAAATGGCTGTAGTAAAATGGGAAACAGCAGTCGTCTTGTAGTGAGATCGTCCTCCGAATCGCTTCATTATGCAATCTCATAAGAAATAAAAGTATCGCGAATAATATTAAAGAATAATGGGGAAAATAACATGTTCGTAGGTGCTGAACCGCAATGCAAAAAACGACTCAGCCCGTCAGCTCACTCATCCTACCAACATTTAGATTAAGCTCAGCAACCAAGCCAGACATAAGAGACTACGCAATTCAGTGTAATGCCTTTGATTGGGTCATTAAACCATAATGGGCCTTGACGGACAAGTTATGACAGGTGGTTTGGTAACCTGATTTACATGCCTACAATGTTGCTTCTCTTTATCTCAACTAGAGTTACTTATGAATTCACTCAGGCTAGGTATCTCTCCTTCCGCCATGGGCTAATCACCAATCCTATATCCTCGTATCACGCCTTCACTATGAGAATTTTTTACTTGCTTATTTAAGTGTGGTATGGGGTGCTCTTTTTAGCGGCTGTCATAAGAACTCTCAACACTCCACGCTGGTTTTATCACCCCCCTCCTCTCTTGTACTGGGATGTTAATCAGTCTGCCATATTGACGAATTGTAGTGTGGTGCTAAGACTGACAAGACTCACTGATGATGACGACTACGATGCCGGCGAAACATATGAGAATGTACCACGTCCACGTTCCAACTCTGAAAATTATCATGCATACTATGGACTTCGGACTAGGTGCGTTCGTCTAAGTTTTCCTACCAATATGACCAAGTTTCGAAAACAAGGTCAAACAACTTGTATGTAAGAATAAATTCACACGTTTTCGATGTTTTCTTAATGTATCGATATCAAGCACACAACTCGGTTACAATTCTTGCTGAGGATTGTGGTGTGGCAAAGACAAGGTCGCAACTGAGATCTATTTTAAAATGAAGAAAAATTTACGTGACAAAGCTGAGTGAAATTCATTTTATTTTGAGGCAATTGAAGCGATGTAAAGTAAATAAATTTTTTTTTAAAGTATCCCTTTCTATTAGAGAATATAAATGAGAGTTGGCAATCAAGGAGCACTAGTGGTAAAAACATATAAAAATATATTTTGCGTGTACATGCAGACTTTCAATACTACCTAGAGATCTAATATAAGGGCTGCATTTTTCATATTTAGCTGCAAGTGATAAGAGATTATAGGTTTACTTTTACCACACTGATGTTTCCATTAAATTCCAAATAGTCTGGATTCCAAAAGGAATTGGACTGCGGTTTCGACCCCGTTTAAACTGGCCTTATCACACTACAAGATGAACCCGAATCAGGGTTGTGATCACAGAATGTGGTATGGGATAATACTTGGACTTAATTGAAAATAAAATCTTCCCTTTGACCCATTATCACTTGTGGCATTGTGGCGTAGCGGTTAACCTGTATAGGTTATGCGCTGCGCTATCACACCCCGGATTCGAGTCCTTCTGGAGGTGCTGATGAAACCAGTCCATTCGAGGTCGAAATTGCATACTATCTTGATTAAGAATACCTTTTGGAAATGCAAGGCTATGTAAAATTAAGCGAAAGCGTTAGGCTTATTCATGTTATTACAAAAAAATTCAACTGTCAGTTCTTCATCGCCGTAAACGAAATAGAGTTAATACAGATCTTATATCGTACCTATTGGTCTTATGGAAAAACCTATTTATGAGATGGAAGCAGCTGTCTGCCGCTATTCCAAGAAAGACGCGACCAAAAGATAAACAAAACATTTAGGTATGCTTAAAAAATATATGTAGTAAGTAAATAAATAAAAATATTTTATATGTATATAATACATATATTCATATATAAATATATATTTCAAGTAAATGCAGGCAGGGGCAAAACAAAGTAGCACTAAATCTAAGGTGACTAAAGCAAAATATTCCTATGAATTAGTAGGTAATGATTCTGAAAAATTGGCTCTAGCTATAAATATTAAAATGCAAAAAACTAGGGTGCTGTTTTTGCAACCTTCAGAACCTTTAAAGATTCAAAAGTTTTTATTGTGGTACATAAAAATAAGACTGCGAAGGCAAATAGTAGTGTATACTCAATGAATACGCGCCTGGTCCCATAGATTTGAGACTATAACTTAGGATATCTGATCTAACAACAGTATAGAATCAGCAAATACCTTTAGTATCAAATTCAGCAGATCTAAACCAAACTGAGAATTCTTTGAATATACAAGAAAATATATATGAGGCTTATTGGGACTTGGATGTTAAAGACATAATTAATAGTAGTTTCTTTGGAATCGATAATCTTGTTATAATATTTGAAATCAGAAATCCTTAGAGGAAAATTAAAAAAACCCTATCAAATACTATACTTTTTATGAGTTTTCCTTTAAAAATAGCTGGGATTCGACAAAAAATGTTGACAGAATAATGAAAATTCTATTTGCACAACTAATTCGCGAATCGCGAATAATATTTTATCTCTCAATTACGGTCCGATATGCTTTTATGTCGGTACGAGTAGAGTAAACCTTATTGTACCTATCTAGTTGTGACTAGAACCCGTGCTAGGCTCAATAAGGCTTGTTGTAAAGCTTGTCCTGGAGCACAGTGAAATTTCTTTGTTCTCTATCCTGTTAAGTTATTTATTTTTAAAATAATCACGAGACATCCTACTTTGCATCACGTTATACATATGATAATTTAAGCTTTTCCCGATATTTACTCAGTTGGTGTAATATTTGATAGGTGTAAATTATTTTGTAGCTAGTTTCGTTTTCTGCGTAGATAAATTGAGATAAATGATGGTAATTGAGCTGATTTACTGCCATGGAGGAATGCTTGCTTGCTGAGGCCATGTAGAGGTTAAATTAAATCAGAGGCAAATACAATATCTTTGTTTAGTTGCCAGACGCAAAAATAAATACTATAAAGTGAGAAAATGCATGCAAGAATTAAATAGATAGGTAAGAGCAACCATGTAAAGAGCCAAGCACATGCTTATTGTATGAAACTAGATAAAAGCTTTGAAGGTCTTTGAAAGAGTTTAGCAAGGACGAGAAATGTAGGATCCTATAAAATTATACGAATAATCATGCAGAGTGACTCAGGATGCAAATGGCACGACTGACCCTCTCTTCAGGCGTCACCAGAGGCCTGGGCTTGTTTGGCTGCTCTAATGGCTTTTGAGTCCATGGAGGCTTCATCCAAGGCACCTTGATATGAGGTTCCTTTAGTGGTATCTCCGCAGGAGCGGCGGATTCAATGGGACTGAGTTTGAGAATGTCGCTAGCACTGAAAACCTGTTCGAGTTCATAAGAGAGCGCAGAATATGGTTCTTTGTTCGGCTGAACTTGGGTCAAACCACTGGAGTCGGATAACTTTACAGCTGAACTTGGAAGGTCAGAGTGGGCCGCGGTGTTTACACTCGAAAGAGGCTGACATTGACTAGTTATCTTGGTGTCCGGCCTCTCCGCAAGAGACTCTGTGGGCTGTCCGAAAACCATAACGGGAGCCCGAGTTTCGATTAAAGGTGAAGCCAGTTGAGACAGAGGCTGAACCAAGCCATCATATATCTGATTAGTTCGCGAAATGGCCTTCTGTGAAACTTGTTGAGCAGCAGTCAACAAATTCGAAGACGACTCGGCGTTACTCTGTGAAATTAACTCTAGGGGCGCTGTAAAACCAATAAAGCCCTTTGTTGAATCAGTCACTTGGGTGGCACTTGTAACTGCAGTTTCAGAAGGACTTTCTGAAAGTAAAGAAGTTTTTAGACTTTGGTAGACTATTTTTGAACCAGAAACGTCCGATAATTTTTGTTGTTCATTGGTGAATTTGGAGCCAGAAAGTGTAGTCTGTTGATTACTTAGAAGGTCGGTAGTTTGGCTCACCGCCTGTGCTTTCTCATGTGACGAGAAAGGCTCCTTTGATGAAGTCGACAGGTTAGTCGAATCGGAGTAACTATTCGTTTCATGGACAATATTCTGCTGTGAAAGAGAGTTTTCTGATGTCTTTTTAAATTCTATGCTTAAGTCAGGATTTTGATCCGCTGAATGCTGCATAGAAACATCGAATCTGAGCTTTTGATGCTCCCCTACATTCACTAACTCTTTGGCTTCTGATGAAAGGACCTGGCTAATATGGCCTCCAGCAAGAGCAGATACATGCATGGGTTGAGTCCCCATCAAACCATGACATTGGTTTAGTTCTTTTGGTAGTGTCGAGGGTAGTTGAGTGACTTGATGCAAGCCGATTTGCACTGCTGATGTTGGTGACATTGAGCCGTCCTGATAACTCTGAGAGTCAAGCGGTTTGTTATGCTTATCGGAAAGTAGACCTAATGCTCTCTGTTGCTCTTCGGCCTGGGGTCTATTAGCCGGGACTACTGGACAGACCGACATTTGACTCCCGGATTGAGGTACAAGCTGAGTACATGACTGACTTAGTGATTCCGTAGAGCTGGCCAGTGGAGTCTGGCTGCCCTGGCGCATGGCCTTTAGACCTGGATGTCCAAAAAAACCCATCCC